CTTAGGCTTGGGTGGGGCCAGGGATAAAAAGATCGAGCTATGGTCGGAGCCAACGGCCGGCAGAGCATAAGCTTCTGCCTCATGGAATAACACTCTCCATTCCATGTTGCACATGACCCTATCTAGTCTTTTCCTTGCCTATTCCTCACCATCTTTATTGTTTTCCCACGTATAAGTACACTCTTTACTCTCTACATCCATAAGTGCGCAATCATTCAACATATCCCGAAAAGCCACCAATCTATGATAATCCTCCTCTCTTTTACCTTCCTTCTCCCACTAGTACCGAATCTCATTAATGTCACCCATGCATATTTAAAGGAGTTCGTTTTAATGATGAATATATCACAGCCTTCGCCACAAGAGGAGCCTTGTTAGCTTGTGCATAGAGAAAAATACGCACATTCTCTTTCCACTACTAAGATCCCTGCATATTAAATCTACAAGATTCTCCGTGCTTTTCACCTCCTCCTCGTCCCGCATAGCTACTAAACCTCCAACCAAACCTTTCGATTCTACTATCACAAAATTCTGAAAACTGAGTCTTTTTCTAACTCTATTCACTGTTGCTCTTTTATTCTTAGTTTCCATGAAAACATAATGTTGGATCTTTCTTGAGCCACTAAGGCTCTCAAGTGCTGGAAAATTAGGATAAAGCCCAGACCTTGACAATTCCAGCTCATAATCTTCATATATCCCCTGGTGGCTTATTAGGGCTAGCCATCGAAGCCCATTCCTTTGAGCCATCCTCAATTAAAATCGGGATTCCATGAAGCTGAGTTTCATTTAGAATGTGGACATTACCCCCCTAGAATAATACGGTTCATACCTTTTCAACTTCTTCGATGCTGGGTTTTTATGGTTTTCCTTCCCTTTCAAAGAGCTCTTGACATTGTGTTTGGGAGGTGCCTCCATCCATGGAGTATCTGAGAGCATGAGTTGACTGCTTTGATGCCTCTTTCCTCAAGTTTCCCTAACCACTATCTCGACATTGTGTTTGCTCTTGCGATTTTCAATCATGAATTGGCCGAAATTTGCTAGGGAAGATTTCCCTAATTGATTGTTCTCTTTCCTTCTTATCCGACTTGAAGTATTTTCATGGCTTCTCGAATTCAAGCACGATAAGGTTGGCTCAGATGAAATTTATTGGATGTGGACACGCTTTAAAATACCCAAATGCAATGCAAAATCATGCAATGCTATTTTTTTTTGTTGAAAAGACCAGCATACATTACTTCTAAGCAAAATATGATTGACAATATAGATGAACCTCTGAACATAAAAGGTCCCACAGGGTTTGAGCAGGCTTCGAGAGCCAATTACATGATAAATTCTTGAGACGTTGGGCTTTAGCGACCTAATCGACTACACAGTTGGCCTCCCTAGCACGATGTACTACTCTGATGTCTATAAACGAGCCCATTAAAGCCTTACACTCGGCAATAAGAGCATACACTTACACGGTGACTTGTCTTGATCTGTGAGGATGCTTATCAAAGTTAAGTTGTCTAACTCCAAAGTACAAGAGACTCCCCGTTCATGCACCAAACCCCTTCAACGCCTCCAACAATGCTAGGGTTTCTAATTGCAAGACCGAGTACACCCAGACCTCCCTCGCAAAGTCGTCGACCATCTTCTTGACTCATCTCTGCACACTCCGGCTATGGCTCTAGCTTACGATCCCACCATGACCAACCCATCCACATTTTCGTAATGAATGATTTGGTGAAATAGTCCCAATTCAGGGGTCAATAATAATAAGCTTAGTATGTTTTTGTATGACTATAATAATTGTCATAGGAAAAGTAAATTTGTTCAACCTTGAGGCATTATGTCCAAATGGATTTCAATTTAATTTCGTGGGCTAGAAGCTGTCGCTCAGTTCGTGATTCTTCCATGGTCCTTGTGGTCCAATCAATAAAGAAGCCGCTTGCATGGTAGATTCGAAGTGTAGGAAACATTACCCGAAACTCTTCCAAGATGAAACTGTCGTCCATGATTAATGGTTATCCGCTATATAAAAGGAGAGATGATAGCCTAACTATGAATAAACAAGGAATTTTGCTAGACAACAGGTTTGCGGTTGCTCGTAATCTTGCTTTAGCTGTCGAGTACCAAGCACTTATTGCCGTAGAATGGGGCCGCCGATCCTGCGCACTCAATCAAGTAGCTGTTAAAGTATATCGATAAATGTGTCGGCAGAGCAACAGTTATTTTCGAAAGAGTATTTTGCAAACTGCAATCATGAGAGCAGTAGAGTTTCATGAAGTCGAAACTTATCTCGACTGCCAATACATTCAGCTTGTGAAGCATCATGGAGACTACATCAGAATGACACACACAAAGGTGCTGCATGAAAACCATTCTGGTTCTGTCCAGAACTGATTTTTTGTTTCCAGAATCAGTTTTGGATCAGAAACCCGTTTGGTAACGCAATTTCATTTTTCTATTTCCGGGACAAGTTTGCTTCCAAAACTGATTCTGAAACCAGAAATGAGAACAAAAAAAAAGTTAGTTTTTCATTTCTGGAACAAAAGTGAGAACCATTTCTGAGGAATTCATTTTCTTCAACACACATTTTCATATGGAAGTCACGATCTTTGAGGTGAGAAAAAAAAGCAAAAAATCAAAAATTTCAAAACTTAACAGAATGGTTTAGAATCTGTGGTTACCCACTTTCAGTGAAATTTAAATTTTTTTAGGTATCGAAAAAAATAAATAAAAATAAATAAAAATAAAAAATTTCAAAATTTCACAAAATGGCTTAGAAAACCTATGGCCACCCACTTTGAGCAAAATTTAATTTTTTTAGTTGCCAAAAAAAATAAAAAATTCTAAAATTTAAAAACTTCACAGAATATCTTAGAATACCTGTGGCCACCCAATTTGAGCGAAATTTTATTTTTTTAGGTGCCGAAAAAAATAAAAAAAGCAAAAAATCAAAAATTTCAAAATTTCACAGAATGTCTTAGAATACTTGTGGCCATCCACTTTGAGTGAAATTTAAATTTTTTTAGGTGCCGAAAAAAATAAAAAAAATAAAAAATTTCAAAACTTCACAGAATAGCTTAAAATACCTGTGGCCACCCACTTTGAGTGAAATTTAAATTTTTTTATATGCCAAAAAAAAATAAAAATAAGCAAAAAAAATAAAAATTTCAAAACTTTACAGAATGGCTTAAAATACCTGTGGCCACCCACTTTGAGCGAAATTTTATTTTTTTAGGTGCCGAAAAAAATTAAAAAAAAAAGAAAAAAAGAAAAAATTTCAAAACTTCACAAAATGGCTTAGAATACTTGTGGCCATCCACTTTAAGCGAAATTTAAATTTTTTTAGATGCCGAAAAAAATAAAAAAATAAAAAATAAAAAAACTTCACATAATTGCTTAGAATACCTGTGGCCACCCACTTTGAGTGAAATTTAATTTTTTTAGGTGTCGAAAAAAAAATAAAAATAAGCAAAAAGAAAAATTTTCAAAACTTCACAGAGTGGCTTAGAATACATGTGGCCATCCACTTTGAGTGAAATTTAATTTTCTTTAGGAACCAAAAAAATAAAAAAAAATAAAAAATACCATTTGGGCATCTAAAAAAAATTAAATTTTACTCAAAGTGGGTGGCTAGAGATATTGTAAGTCATTCTGTGAAGTTTTGAAATTTTTTGATTTTTTATATTTTTTTCACCTAAAAAAATTTAAATTTCACTCAAAGTGGATGGCCACATGTATTCTAAGTCATTCTGTGAAGTTTTGAAATTTTTAATTTTTTGCTTTTTTTTCACCTCCAAAAATTAAAATTTCACTCAAAGTGGGTGGCCACAGGTATTCTAAGCCATTCCGTAAAGTTTTGAAATTTTTGAGTTTTTGAATTTTTTTTGGGCACCTTAAAAAATTTAAATTTCACTCAAAGTGGGTGGCCACATGTATTCTAAACTATTCTGTGAAGTTTTGAAATTTTTGATTTTTTGATTTTTTTTGGGTACCTAAAACAATTTAAATTTCACTAAAAGTGGGTGGCCACAGGTATTCTAAGCAATTCTGTGAAGTTTTGAAATTTTTTATTTCTTGATTTTTTTTGAAAAAATTCAACAAATTTCCTATTTTCCCGAAATCTAAATTTTTTTTATTTTCTCGACATTTTGATGATTTTTTCTGGAATTTTTCAATTTTTTGGGATTTTTTGAATTTTTTTAAAGATTTTTATGAATTTTTCGGATTTTTTATTATTTTTATTCCATTTATAAAAAAATGGAATTTTGTTCCTGGAAATAGAATTTTCTGTTGTTTATCAAACGTGTTTTTATTTCAAGAAATAGAAATTTTGTGCTGTTATCAAACGGGTTTCTGTTCTAGAAATAGAAATTTTTGGTCATTATCAAACGAGTTTTTTTTCTCAGAAACTCATCCAGGAACCAGAAATAGAAAAATCTATTTCTGGTTCAGGAACTCATTCCGGAACAGAATGGTTATCATTCGCTACCAAAATAGAACTCCAAAAGTCAAAAGATTCGATTTTTCATTTGCCCGATCAACCAGTCGAGTATTTTACATGAAACCAAAAATCCTCGAACTATCATTCCGAGGATTGATAAGGGAAGAACTTTCGTTCAATCAATATGTATTGAACTCATCATTAATCTCAAAGAAAAAGAAGTGCTCCATGCCAACATTTTTTTCCTTCTTGCAATCGGTTGCAAAATTCTACCCTCCATTGACAAACAAATCCGAAATAACGACCCAGCCCATTTTACATTGATCAAAGTCTCGTTGCAATTTTTGCAAATGCTTAGAACTTATAATGTAATTTTTTTCTAGTATGAAATTATGACACTACAAATAAACTCGTCGAATTCGAGTCACATCTAAATCGCAAAAATGCTATTATTACAAAAAAAAAAAACGAATAATCATGTGAGTCGCGCAATTGGAGCCTTAGCACGGCCGTCAAGATTGATTTTTTTTCCTACATCACCGTTTGTTTCTTTTCCTAACTTTTTTTCTTTTTCAGCGGGAGATTTTCTACGATCAAATGTAACAACAACCTGCCAATGAAGTGGATCCATCTAATGCAATCCGTCGTTTTTCTTTGGCTTCCAGTCATTCTATGTTAATCCGATGGAATCTTCTCTCTTTATATTGACAGATCCCACCTTCCAATTCAGAGTCAACGCAATGCAATCAATTTAAGATAACGTCGGCAGGATTTTTTCCTCTGTAATGACTGACACTCGTGTACGTTGTTCATGTTCTAGTTGTTTCACTATTACGCAAAGCTTCGCCATTCTTAGTTCCGCCATTGCCGAAACTGAGGAATCCGCTGTGCAGCGTCTGAATACCCAGAGCTATGAAGTGGGTTTTCTCTTCGCTTCCTCATTTTTTTGGATTTATGATTATGTTTTCGAATTGGGTATTGTATTGCGTTCGAATTATTCTTGCCTTTTTTTTCTTGTAGCTTTCACCGCTTTATTCGCGATGGGAGTTGATTGTTTGATATAATGCGAGATTTCCGTGCTGATTTGTGTGGTCATCTGTTCTGATACGGAAGCACCTCATTGGCTGGGCGATGGATTTTGATTTCTGTTTGGTATTGTTCTAAGTGACCCAAAGATGATCCAGTCACAACTATTTATGAATACCCACCACTTTACTTATTCCCAGAAACTAGATGTTTTAACCTTTGTTTGCTGTCACCGTTCCACTGTAATGTTCATGGTGGATGCTCGTCATTTTGGTCGCGTTTCTTGTTAAGTATGCATCGGCTTCTTTGGACGATTGTACTAGATGCATTGTGTTGGGATCATGTCTTCTCGGATCTCCTGGAGAGAGATTGATCACAAGTCAGCCATGTTTTTTCTAATGCAAAGATTCGATATTGACTTCTTAAGAAATGTAGAGTGACATTGAAGCTTTACTTTACCATCTAGCTGCTGCTAGTTATTCAATTTTTATGCACCCTTGCATAATCCTCTGAACTTCGGACGTCCTCCTTCTCCCAAATAGAATTGCTCCGAGGCCTTCAGTTGGAGTTTGGCGATATGCCTGGATCGCAATATATCTTCGGTTGAATGATTCTTCAGCTGATTGATGAGATTTGGCCTCTATTTTATTCAGTGCTGGTATTACTATAAGATCGCTGAGTTTCACCTAAAAATGCCCGCTCTCTTAGTAGAACTTTGTAACATTTCTTTTTCTCTGACCAGTAGCTCAAGTGAAATAATACCTCCACGGTTTTCAGAGGTTGCAAATTAGATTGTAGAAAGACAATATCCCATTGATAGGTTGCTTGAAACATCAAAGAGGCAGAATTTGAGGCAATCTATGCAAAGCTGAGTCAACAAGAGTAGGAAACCTTTATAAAAGTAACGTGTTTCAAGACTTCATCAATATAAACCAGACCCAAATAGCTGTAAATGTGACATAACAATTGGCCCAAGTCATCTGTATGGTTTTTCACTGAGCATTCAATTTTCTTTCCTTCATTCTAATGTCTAGAACGATGAACATTTGGTTCTTTGTACCTTTTACGTCTTCCAATGTATTTTAGCTGCCGCTTAGAACGTAGAATTCATTCTAGTTAGAGAATCCTTTTTTTGTGTACAGAGTATATTTCTTAAAACTCTTTTTTCACCTGTAAACCTTGCCTTCCACATGAAAGATGAATGTCGACATGACCACGTTAAAACAGACAAGATAGAATTACAGGAATATCATGCAAAATAGAAGTTGGAGGGAACGACAGGTAAGAATTTTTTAGTTGTCCTTTGATGTCATATCAGACAAACCATTTCCCCCTAAACGCGACAGGAAACTGGCCGACAATGGATACGTAGCATGTTTCTGAACAATACTTGTAATATTCCGTCCTTTGCATTTCAATGCCTTGATCTCTTCATTGGTACTGTTCTGTTCGGCGCATCAATTATTTGTCTATTTACTCTTTTCTTCCATCTCGAACAGAGGTAAAAAGTACTTGGGATGTTCTTTGTCTCTGATCATCATCAACTTGGCTGCGATAATGGAGCGTGCAGATGAAAATCTCCTTCCAGCTGTTTACAAAGAAGTCAGTGAGACTTTCAATGCAGGGCTGTCTGATTTGGGTTATCTTACATTTATAAGGAACTTTGTCCAAGGATTGTCATCACCCTTAGCGGGCGTTTTAGTCATAAACTATGACCGGCCGACAGTTCTTACGTTAGGGATATTTTGCTGGGCTTTCTCAACTGCTGCAGTTGGTGCAAGCCAGTATTACATGCAAATTGCATTTTGGAGAGCGCTAAATGGTTTTGGATTGGCAATAGTAATACCAGCTCTACAATCGTTTATTGCAGATAGCTATAAGGATGATGTAAGGGGCACTGGATTTGGATTTTTATCTCTTATTGGAAGTTTTGGGGGCATAGGTGGAAGTGGTATAGCAACGGTTATGGCTGGCACAGAGTTCTGGGGAATTCCTGGATGGAGATGTGCCTTTATTCTAATGGCAACAATTAGTTCATTGATTGGCTTGCTCGTTTTTTTGTTTGTTGTTGACCCAAGGAATACGACTAACTTTACTCACGATTCTAGTGAGAATCTAGAAAGGTACACATGATCGCTTAAACTTCCTAGAAGCTTTGTTTTTCCTTTTTCTTTTCTGGCTTTGTCTCGTTGTCGTATTTTATAACTAATGGCCTCTGTGATGGTCATATCAAATTTTGGTCCTTAATATTCTTCCGTTGCAGAGATGCTCTGGTAGAGAAGGGAAGTAACACGAGATCAACTTGGATGGAGTCTTGGAAAGCAACAAAAGCTGTGATAGTAGTGCAAACTTTTCAAGTAATTGTATTGCAGGGAATCATCGGTTCACTACCATGGACAGCCATGGTGTTCTTCACTATGTGGTTTGAACTTTTGGGTGAGGCTTTGTGCAGTTCCATGTTACGTGATAGTCATCAGAATCTAGAGTTGGAAACTAACAAAGCTAGCTAAGTACATATGTGGATTCCGCATGCATGTCTCTCCGGTTAAATTTTTGTGTTCAACCAGGATTCAGTAATGGGATGACCAGCTTCTTGTCACATTCCTCTCTTTTATTTTGCTGCATAATGTGTAATGTCTAGTCTTCATTGGTTTCCAGGTTTTGATCACAATGGTGCAGCAACTCTAAATATCATTTTCGCTGTTGGGTGTTCTGTGGGATCCCTTCTTGGAGGTGTCATAGCAGATAGAATATCTCGAGTCTACCCCCATTCTGGTCGTATCATGTGTGCACAATTCAGTGCTTTTATGGGCATTCCTTTCTCCTGGTTTCTTCTCAGAGCAATCCCTCAGTCAGTCAACAGCTGGTTCGCCTACTCCATTGCCTTACTTCTGATGGGCTTAACTATCAGTTGGAATGCCACTGCAACGAATGCCCCAATGTTTGCTGAAGTGGTCCCAGCCAAGCACCGGACCATGATCTATGCATTCGATCGTGCCTTCGAGTTATCCTTATCCTCTTTTGCAGCTCCACTAGCTGGGATTCTTTCTGAGAAGATATTTGGCTACGATAATAAGACTGTGGATCCCGCTAAAGGATCAGCGGATGGAGCCTTCGCTCTATCAAAGGGGCTTCTCTCGATGACAGTAGTGCCGTTTGGTTTGTGTTGCTTGTGTTACACACCACTGTACAAGATGTTCAAACGGGACAGGGAAAATGCAAGAATGGCGAGTTTGAAGGCGGAGGAGGTGACATGAAGCTTCTGTTCGTCAGGACTCTGGTTGAATTATAGGAACAGAATTAATTGGGTCTGTAATTACGCTCTAATTTTTTCCATGCTAAACTTCTTCGCCGAAGTGTGAAGTCTTATCTGGCCCAAAAGCCTGAAGTTTCACGAGTCACAATTACTTTGGTGACTTTGGAGGCTCTGTAGGAGACTTCTCACTAAAGTTAAGCTTAACAGATCTTGACTTCATCAATCTGTTCTTACACTGACATATATATATATTGTAAGATTTGTCACAGAGAGATGGGAATGTTTATCATCAAGCCAATGGCATGAGGTCTACAATGTCCTGTTGCTGTTCCCCGATCGTCAATACAGTGAAGAGATAATATAAACCATGTATGATGGTGTTCTCGTTGAGCACAGGCTTCCGATTTTCCCTTGAGATGTTGAGGCAAAAGTTCCCTTCCCAATCAATGTTACAATGGTAAACCAACAAGAATTTATGCCAAAGATGTGTGATCACGTGCTGCTGGCAATCTCTGAAGTATGAACTCAGTTTATCAGCCTAGTTTTGATCATCAGGGCAAGTTGGGTACTCCCCTCACCATTAGCGAACCACTCGTGCTAGAGAGATTGGGATCAACTAGAGTAAAAGGCCCAGTGCTTTAGTGTACAAACCAGTGAAACAGGAACGGTACGGATTTTACCTTGGTTTTGCGCTCGAGTTTGGACGCTTCGTGACAGGTTTCATCATCGGAAGCAACGGAAGAGGTGTATCAGCCTGAACAGGTTATGGAAGACCGCGCCGAAGTAGTACTAGCAAATTTAAAACTGGGTATATACAAGACGATAAGTTACGCATAATATCAACCCACCCATGGGTAGCGCAGTTGGTTAGGGTGTACTTGGGATTGTGTGGTTAGGCGCACTGGTCCTAGGTTCAATTCCCCAGCTGAGCACTTGTGATTTAAGTGGGGGGCCATGGCGGTGGGTTGCTGTGTTAGTCTCCCCCGAGGAATAGTCGAGGTGCGCGCAAGCTGGCCCGGATACCTCGGTTATAAATAAAAAAAAAAAAGAGTTACGCATAATATCCTTCATCAAAGTTCATCGAGTCACATTAGCCATTTGGAGTGATATGGCGTATGATTCAGCTCACTAAATTACATATGATTGCAATACGGAGGCGATTTGCATTTATAAGCTGGCAGAACATTCTTCATTCTCTTCAGACGTGTATGTCCTGCAGATTAGGGGATGATAGAACGATTTAACAGGTGAATCAGCTTGTGATTTCCAGGAGGAACAATGAGAGTGTGAATGAATCATATGTACAAGCTGTTTCCCAGGAAACCAGCAAAGCCATTTGCGGTAAATCAGGGCTTCACGAGTCGCGGATCGCTTCTAGCATTTGATATTAGTCTTTCTCTTTCTCTTCCAGAATTTTGCGGCTCAAGCGTGAATGGGAGAACTTTTGAGACAAGATATCATATTTGAGATGTGCCTCTCTTGAGATGGAAGGTCCAAGCCCTTTTAATATTGGCATCAACTTGGAATTTTTTTTGTACTTTTCAAAATGTTGGGGATTTTTAATGGTACATCAATGTACAATTCAAGCATTTTTTTTAACTGTGTATTTGGGTTTGGTTACAACGTGTTAAAAAGTTCAATCAAAAAGTTTAAATTAAAAGTAAAGGGAGACAATATGCATATAAAACCTATTAGAATTTGGTCTTCAACTAACATGAGATAACACTTTAACACCTCTTTTCGGGTGCAACTTAGATTGAAAATGTATAAAGAACGCATGTGAAACTAAAAAACCGCGAGCCACACACACGAAATATAGTTCGTGCATGAAGGATATGGAATTTGGCTATGATACCATGTAAACTTTTATGGAACTATTGTCAGTGATATCATATCAAAAAGTCCCTAATGGCTTTGAACCAAAAAAAAATAGTCCATATTGCAAATGATGTCACGTTAAAAAGTTCATCCAAAAACCTTAATTCAAAATGTGGAGGGAGAGTGTCCATATATGGCCCATTAAGACCCAATATTCAAGCAATTTAGAAGTAAATGCGTATGCTTGTAATTTTATCTTGTAATCCAAGTCGGTGCTTTCAAATTTTTCTAGACCCTTCATTTGTCTACCCCAAATTGGGATTGTTACAATGTATAAAGTACTAAACGACGCCGTTGCCATCCTAGTTCATGTGGTTGTGCACAATGCACACACTTTTATCGTATAAAGCCATTTCTAGCTAGCAAGTTGCTTTTATACCATTTGTAATGATTTAGCGCACGTTATTCAAAGCGCTAAAAGAAATACTTTGGTCTAATCACGTCATCATTGATCATGCATGCTACATTTAAAAGTGAACATAAATTGGTGTCAATTCAATCCAATCCAAAAAAACAAATTAACACATTAGCTTCTTATTTTTTTCTTTGACAGCTATACCCACTCTTAGTCGGACATTTCAATAGCACAAAATCAAGTAATCCAAATGAAGTAATCTTTCTTTAAGCATCCCAACTCTAAATTTGACACATATCTTTAATGTATAAAACTATTTCGAGAGTTATGTTTTCATTGATCGATAGAAGGGTCCTCCTATATCTTGATAGGCATATACAAAATCGTCTAAACTTTACTTCGAAAAGTATTTAGATACATTGAGATTATATAGAGTGCTAAAAATATTGAAAAAATTAAAAAGATTAAGCAAATTTATATTTTTAGTGTAATGAAAGAATTGATAATGTTTTGATTGTTAATTTTTTCTGTCCTGCGACAATGCACGGATTACTATTCTGTTCTTAATATGCAGTATGGTCAGATCCATAGTACAAAAAAAGTATTTATTCGAAGTTTGAACAAGCACAACAAAACCTTTTGATAGGAATTGAACAATAAAGATATCAGTCTTTCGAAGTGGAGCCACAAAATATTTTAATAAGGACTAGTAGCATCAGGAAAAATGTATGTCAACCATTTTATGGGAAAAATCTTCAATTTATTGCACTATTATCAATTCAATCCTAAACCTTCAAATTCTACTAATTTAGTTCTAAATATTTTCACAATTTTCCAATAACGTAAACGCCAACCATCCTATATAGCACGGCCGACGCTAACGTAGGCAATATTATAGTTTTTAAAAAAAATTGAAATTTTTATTATTTTTTCTTTCTTTCTTCTTTTTCCTTTCATTTTGGCTGGAGAGAGTCGCCAGGGCCTTCACGGGCCCACCGGCATTGGGTGAGGCGGCCCTCTCTCAGATTTGGCAAGGACCACGACCCTCGCCAGCCAAAATGAAAGGAAAAAATGAAAAATAAAATAAAATAAAATAAAATATAAAATATAAAAAAACTCAAAAAATTATTAAAATATGTCTAGGTCAGTACCAACCGTGCCGTGTAGGCTGGTCGGCATCCATGTCAACGATTTCAGACCAAAATTGCCCAAATTGACTCAATTGGAAAAATGTGAAAATATTTAAGATTAAATTGACACAATTAAAAAGTTTAGAACTAAATCGGCATAATTACAATAGGTTTAGGATTTTTTTGGTACTTTTCCCACAATTTATTCAAATACTTTTAAGACTTTTTTACATGAAGAAAGAATGAAAATCTAAGCCTTTTTAAAAAAATATATATATCCTTAAGACAATATTTTTTTATTAGTATCCATAATAACATTATTGTAGTTAGGTAAGGATTCAAATCACAAAGAGGTAATTCAAAGAGAGCTTTGGATAAAGGGTTGGGGACTCTCTTTCATACATTTAAAGAGTTGATGTCATGTATTTGATGAATGGCCAAATTTTGATTTTCTTTGGGATAATTCTTCGAAACTTCCATGAACTTTGGCACTATTTCGCAATGGCTCCCAAATTTTTAAAAGTTACATATTAATCCTTTAAACTTCGACACTGTTATACAATGGCCCTTGAAATTTTGCAAGTTACCCCTAATGAACTATGATTTGTATTGCAGCCATTAGTTTTGTCATGTACATAGCCGTCAAATGTTATGTTGAGAAATTGATTAATTCACTTCTTGATCAAAGTGACCTTTATTACGTGATTAACAAAATTAAGAAAATAGAGTGGCACGCAAAGGTTATTCTGATAAAGAAAACCGAGTTAATCCATTTCTAATATGATATTGAAGAGTTATGTAGATTAAAAAACTATTCGCAAGGAATGAAAATCGAAATTTTGGGGGATATCCGTAACTATTCAAATTAAGGGGGCTATTACACAATAGTGTCGAAGTTTAAGAATTATAAAGGTGCGTTTATTTCACAAAAAATGAATAATTTAGAAAATACTTTCATAAATGATCGCTTGTATAGCAAACAAAAATGAACGAATAAAATATATTTTCATTGTTTATGAAAATATTTAAACATAAATTCTTGTCGATAATAAAAAAAATTATTTATTAATTTTTTAAGAAATAAACGATTATTTTTAAATAGTATTTTTTAAATCATTTATTTTCGCTAAACAAAAAAAATTAAATCTCTAAATTTTATAAGTTCTAGGTCTACTACACAACTGTTCCAAAGATAAGGGGAGCAATTATCTTTCGTTTTGTCTCTTTCGTTTTTAAACTTTTCCCTTCTTTATTTTGGCTCACACTATTTTCACTAATATATTGGCTCTTGAAACCCTATTTTATATTGAATTGACTGCATTATCTCTTGCAGGTCCCACTCTTGATTTAAAATTATTTCTTGTTTTTTCTTTCTTCTTTTTCTTTTGTTGCAATATTATTAGAGATGAAACTACCCATACTCCTCTAAAACAACATTTAGTAAGGTTAAACGTGGGACCTACTCTTGATTTAAGAGTAATGCTTGCCTTCTTTTCTTCTTTTTGGTTTTTTCCTTTTCTTTCTCCATTTGGAACAAAATTGGTGTACCTCTTTTCCCAGAAATAGTTTAATTGGCAGGTAGCTAACTAATTATTGTGTTTCCGACAAAAAAACTAATTATTCTGATAATGAGTTGTATAAATCCTTTTTATTTTGTACTAGGAAACTATTATTCAAAAAATAACATAAGCACAAGTACAAGGATAATTATTTTGTACCAAAAATCGAAGTCCAAATTTTCATGATCACGAGGACAATCTAGGAATATAAAGTAAACCATTTGTAAATAAAACTAACATTTCTTCGCTTTGATATATCAATAGTGCATGCTTAGGTTATAATAATGAAGAATAAGTTCAGGAGAAGACAAACATAAAGGAAATATTGAACCTTACCCAAAAAAAAAAACATAAAGGAAATATTGAAATGCAGTGGTAGTAAAAGAAGTAGCTAGGTTGAAAAAAAGTCATTCGAAAGGGATGTGGATAACTTTTTTCTCCTAGTAAAACTTTAAAAAAAGAAGAAGAAAAAGATTAAAAAAAAAAGAGAGATTTTCAAGGCATAGGCCTTTATTTTTCACGCTTTTTTTTAATATTCCATTTCGCGGCCTTATCTGGTCGCCATAATCTCTAATTAAGACAGAACCACCGACCTTCGTTGAATACCTCGTTAATCTTTGTCGAAGAAAAATACCAGATTTCTTGACGACGTTGCTTTTCTCACCCGCCGGTCCTCCTCTCTTTCCTGCTTCCGTCTCTCCTCCACGTTTCAATCCTCTCTTTCCTCCGACATTTTCTCTGGCTTTCTCACTTCACTTTCCTCCTCAACGCGTACAAGCCATCTCTCTCTCTCTCTCTCTCTCCCGAGCCACCTCGATAAACATCCGTCGTCTTCTCCTCTCTTTCTTGTCGTCTTCAAAATCAATGCTCTCTTGCTTCCCAAGCATCCTCCATCAAAAGTTCGCACCTTTCCGTTTCGCTACCGCAGCTACTGCAGAAATTTGTTTGTGGGTGTCGATTGATGCTGGTTTCTTTGCTCGATCGTCTGCATTTCTGCTTCGATTGGGAGTGCTCTGTTCTTTGCGCGGGTACCTGCTGAGCGGAAAATCGCCCTTTGCCTCCCGACATTTCAGCTGCAATCTGAGGCGCTCAGTGGGTTCATCTCGAAAGGGATTAGCGTTTGAGCGAGGTTAGACCTTCTCGAGATGACTTTTCTGATCTTTTGTTTTGTTTTCATTTGATGGGTAGTGCTGTGCAAGCATCGCTGTTTGGATTGTCTAGATTTTGCCCAAATCTATTGGCATTTCGGTTTTCTTATCTTCGAGTTGCCGCGACTTGATTTTTGCTAAAGTTGGAATTTTTCTCCGAGCAGGTTCGGATTCGTTACTGGGTTTTTCTTGCATTTCAAACTCTTGCAGCTTTTTGGTTTCTTTTTACGCGTTTAGTCTTTTTAAGTTGAGATGAGGGATGCGGATGAGTAAAAGAATCATCGGCCTTGTCGACCTGAATCTACAGTGCCATATGAGTGTCAAAACGTGCATTCTAGCTTTAATTGATGATGGAAGCCATGTCTTTGATTCGTCAAGATACTGCCTTAGAAACTGTGGATGCTTTGACTAGATTCTTCTAGAATTTGGAATCTTCTATGATATAGGATGCAAATTAATAACTTTCTTGCTGCATCTTGAAGTTCTTTTACTTTTTTGTGGTGCTGAAGTTGGGGAAGAAAATTGAGTGTGTTTATTTAGCTGAATTTGTAGTCTACCAATTAAAAGTTCCTTCTTTTTTTCAGTTTCTTGTGCTATTCCTTGGTAGTTTTTGTTGTGTCAAAGTTTACAAATGACGGGAGGGCAGTCCAGCAAGAAGAGAAGTGATGAGGCTCCTCCTCCCCTGTCATTGAACACGAATGCCCAATACATGGCCGATCTGACCTCTTACGAAGATGCTTGTAAAATTGACCCTGACTTGCAAGCCTTTGATCACACCCTTCACGAGCGTACCAACCGCGTTATCAACAGTCTTGCAGTTGGCATAGAGGTTCGGTCCCTGTCTTTCGAGTCGCTGAGAGAAGTGACAGGTAGTCTGCTGGAAATGAACCAGGAAGTAGTCAAAGTCATTCTTGAATGCAAAAAAGATATTTGGAATAATCAAGAACTGTTTGGTCTGGTAGAAGATTACTTTGAGAACAGCCTGCAGACGCTAGACTTCTGCACTGCTCTTGAAAAATGCCTCAAGCGTGCTCGTCACAGCCAATTAATTATCCAGTTCGCGATCCAGCAATTTGAAGAAGTGGAAGACGGGATTGAAGGGAACAAGTTTGTGAAAACGTTGGAAGAACTACAGAAGTTTAAGGCGGCTGGGGACCCTTTTACCGAGGAATTCTTCATGATCTTCCAATCTGTTTATAAGCAGCAGGTGGCAATGTTGGAGAAACTACAAGGTCGGAAGAAGAAGCTCGATAAGAAGCTAAAATCTACCAAAACATGGATGAGAATCTCTAACGTGATTTTCGTTGCCGCTTTTGTGTCAGCATTGATATTCTCGGTCGTGGCAGCAGCTGTGGCAGCACCGCCTGTCATAACAGCGTTGGCTGGTGCAATAGCTGTCCCAATTGGCTCAGTGGGTAAGTGGTGCAACTCCCTGTGGAAGAACTACCAGAGTGCTCTCAAAGGGCAGAGGGAGCTGATCAGCTCAATGCAGGTTGGCACCTACATAATTATCAAGGACATGGATAACATTAAGGTTCTTGTCAGTAAGTTGGAGGTCGAGATTGAGTCTTTGATGAAAAATGCTGATTTTGCTTCTAGTGAAGATGAGGCTGTCACGTTCGCTATAGTTGAGATAAAGAAAAGGCTGAAAATATTTATGGAAACGGTCAACGATCTGGGTGAACACGCTGACAAGTGTAGCCAGGACATAAGTAGGGCGAGAACGGTTGTGTTGCAAAGGATAATGAGACATTCAAATAGCTAGAGAGGTCCATACAGAGGCGTACCTTTAATACTTTGACAACTCTTAGTCTAATTCTCATCAATTATTGACATTACCAACTACCTTTAATCCATTATGATAAAGATTGAAGGTAAGCAGTTTCTTATATTAGCAGGCTTGTATGTTGTAATACCATTGCTGATTTCTCTTTCCGCAGCAGGATGTTAGCTTAATTTTCAGTTAATGGTTTGACAAGAGTGTTTTTCATGGATTTGTTTGTGACTCGGGGTCCACATGTGAGCCATATCTATTGAAAATTTGCAGAATGTATAACCATGTTTTAGTTCGCTGAGATGAAATTGGTCCTTTATATTTTCTATAAGGTGGTATTTCTCGTTTATCTTCTTCTGCTTTCTGCCGGAACTAGTTAGCAACAGCCATTGTGATTTTGCAAACTGACCAGTGAGATAACATTAGTCATTAGGTACTATGCATTATTCCTCCAGTGTAGTTTTACTAGCGATTTCAACTATGACCGTAATTTTCCGGCTGAGGTGTGCAAAAATAGGTTGAACCAAAAACTTTTGCCTTCGTATTTACGAAAGGTTCCGACTGAATAGTGCAAGCTTCTTGAAGCGGCATGCGGTGTGAACGGAACTGAACAGAATTAGCTGGTGCAATTAGTCTTTCTTGTAGAAAAAGACTCCTTTTTGTATTCAATGAATATTTTTTCTGTACATTTACAATGCTCAATCCTGTTATATATATAGGACATATGACAATCCTAATTAGGAGATATACAATAGGAAGGATTCAATATTAGGAAGAAATCTATATAATAAAAATGCCTAACAAATAGGCTAAAATAGCTCACGACCACACTCCCCCTCAAGTAGGTGCAAAGATGTCTTTGATACCCAACTTGATAAGTGAGCAATGAAATTCTCTACTTGACAGAGCCTTTGTCATCAGCTAACTGGTCTTCAGACTTGACAAATGGTAACTGGATCACTTTTGCTTCCAAATTCTCTTTGATGAAATGTCTGTCAATCTCCACATGTTTGGTTCTATCATGCTGAACTGGATTATGAGCAATGTTTATGGCTGCTTTATTATCACAAAACAATTTGATTTCCAAACCTGGTAGATACTCGAGCTCAGTTAGCAGCTTCCGAAGCCATAGAAGTTCGCATAACCCCTTTGCTACACCTCTGAATTCAGCTTTTGCACTAGACCGAGCTACAACCTTTTGTTTCTTACTTCTCCATGTAACAAGGTTGCCTCCCACAAATGTAAGATACCCTGATGTAGACCTCATGTCTGTCACACTTCCAGCCCAATCTGCATCTGTGTAACCTTCTATTTCAAGGTGGCCATTCTTTGCAAATAGCAACCCCTTTCCTGGGGCTGACTTCAAATATCGAATGATGCGCCACACAGCACTCATATGATCCTCACTAGGTGCATACATGAATTGACTCACCACACTTACTGCATGAGCAATATCAGGACATGTATGTGATAAGAAAATCAATCGACCTACTAACTTTTGGTATTTCTCTTTATTAGTAGGCGTCTGATCAGGGTACTCTCCAAGCTTACAGTTATGTACCATAGGAGTGTCTGCAGGCTTGCAATCTAGCATGCCAACTTCGGTCAAAAGATCAAGAACATACTTCCGCTGAGACAAGTAAATCCCTTCCTTCGACCTAGCAGCCTCGATTCCCAGGAAATATTTCAGACCTCCCAAGTTCTTCATCTCAAACTCCCCAGATAATAATTCATGCAGTCTCATAATCTCTACACTATCATTGCCTGTAATAATCATGTCGTCTACATATATGATAAGAGTTGTCCTTCTTCCTTGAGCACCTTTTAAGAACAAAGTATGATCTGAGTTACTTTGGGAGTATCCATACCCTTTCATAACCATGCACGAGGGGATTGCTTCAACCCATACAATGATCTTTCCAGCTTACAAACCATGTTCGGCTTATCTGCGCATCTGTATCCAGGTGGAAGCTTCATATAGATCTCCTCCTCTAAATCTCCATGAAAAAATGCATTCTTCACATCAAATTGATGCAAAGGCCAGTCCAAGTTTGCAGCCAGAGATAACAACACTCTTATAGTGTCTAACTTTGCAACTGGAGAGAATGTTTCCTGATAATTCACCCCATAAGTCTGTGTATACCCTTTAGCTACCAGTCGCGCCTTATACTTCTCAATAGTGCCGTCTGCCTTATGTTTGACTGTGAACACCCACCTACATCCAACCGGCTTTTTATCCTTTGGTAGTTCCACAAGTTTCCAAGTTTGATTTTTCTCCAACGCCTCCATCTCTGCCTCCATCGCTTGAAGCCATTTCGGATCCTTCATGGCTTCTTCAACCCTGTTTGGAACTTGAACCGAGGAAATCGTAAACACGAAGACTTGTAGTGGTGTGGATGACCTCTTAGCGGACATGATCACGCAATAGTGGTATCGAGACCCGCGGTCCTCTACATCCGGAGAATATCGATTCGGTGGTTTACCCCTATTATGCCTATCGGGTAGCTTATAACCAGTAAGCACATCAGTATCTTCAAAAGAATCAAGTACAGTAGAAGTACTTACCTCAGGTACATTCTCAGGAGCTTGGAATGGTACTGAAGAAGGCAAAGACAAGGAGGTACATTGTAGTCTAGCATTGCATGTGCATGCATCCGTTGACACCTGTTCGGACCCATGCAGTAATTCAGTGTTGTCTGGTTGTGCAGCCTCAGAATCATGCGGCAGTAGCTCAAAATCTTCAGCCTCAGCAGCCTCAGAATCACGTGGCCGTGCGAACACATCAGTCACTCCTGCAATTCCTACCTCCCACCAATGTCTGGTTCTACAACTAGTCTCCCCCTGAACAGGACACTGGGGGGAAGGAAAATAGGACTCTGTCTCGATAAATGTTACATCCATGGTGACATACGTACGCTTCCCGGCAATATCATAACACCGATACCCTTTCTGAGAAAGGCCATAACCAAGAAACACACGTTTGACTGCACAAGGGTCAAGTTTGGTTCGCTGATTTTTGTGAATATGGACATAAGCGACACACCCAAACACCTTAGGAGGCAATGTAAGAACCGAAGGAAGAGACACATGGGCAGCAAGTGCTTGCATTGGCGTGCGATAGCTCAGAATGCGGGAAGGCATGCGATTCAACAAATAAGCAGCTGTGACTACGGCAGAATCTCAAAAACGATGGGGAACATGGCTACCCTCCAAGAGTGCTCGAGTGGTTTCAAGAAGATGGCGATTCTTGCGCTTAGCAGCACCATTCTGTTGAGGAGTCTAAGGGCAAGAAGTTTCATGTATCAAACCATGTTCTTGAAAATAAGCTGCAAGAGGTTTACTTAAGTATTCGCCACCATTATCAGACCTGAGAACTTGAAGTTTGGCCCCAAACTGAGTCTGAATCATACGGTGGAAAGTCCGAAAGATAGCTTCAGCCTCATTCTTATGTTTCATCAAATATAGCCAAGTCATACGTGTGCAATCATCAACAAAGATGATAAACTATCGAAACCCAGATACAGTAGTAATAGGAGACGCACCACATACATCATAATGAATTAAGGAAAAAGGAGTAGAACTTATATTCAAACTGGGAGGCAAACAAGTGCGATGGCTCTTTGCCAAAATACATGTATCACACTGAAAACTAGAGTTCGATAGACCATGAAATAACTTGGGAAACAAATACCGTAAATACCCAAAGGATGGGTGACCTAACCGACGGTGCCATAATCAAAGTTCCTTCTCTTGAGCTAACTGTCCACGAGAATGATAGGTCCGTCCAGAAGTAATTTCATCCACGAAATATAGCCCCTCCCTCTTAGTACCGCGCCCAATAATCTCCTTCGTGAGAATGTCCTTAAACAGGCAAAAATCAGGGTACATAAACACAACACAGTTCAACTCACTAGTAAGCTGTCCAACTGATAATAGACGATTAGACAATGAAGGAACAAGCAAGGTATGAGATAGAGAGAGAAGGCATGACAGACACACGCCTAGCAGTCGTCACAGGAAAGCTATGTCCATTAGCATTGTAAATATGATCTCGACGTGGTGTAGTAGATGTAAGAAGGTCACCAGATTCCGGAGTCATATGATCTGTAGCGCCAGAATCAATTATCCACCCATGATGACCATCACCATGTCCATTAGCAAAGACAAACCCACAATTACCTTCAAAAGATTCGGCATTAGCAGATTCAGGCTCCATGGGAATTAATGACAAGCCGCTAGTCACTAAAGAGGCTTGCCCTCCATTCCCCCCCCCCCCCCCCTGATTCAGGCTCCATGGGAATTAATGACAAGCCGCTAGTCACTAAGGAGGCTTGCCCTCCATTCCGCCCCTTTTGGGAGCCTGGTTTCTTCTTCTTGGTCTGAATGCTGCTGTATGTTTACGATTCCCACATTGAGAGCATCCCTCGGATTGAATTGCATACCAGGTTTAGGGCGAGGTCCCCGGGCAGAAAGCACTAACTGATCACCCTTGCCCCGCTGTGACACCATGGCGGAACCAGAGGTGACCTCGACAAGAGTGGAGAGCATGACAGATTGGCGCATATTCTCTCGCCTGACTCGGGCATAAGCTTGCTCAATAGTGGGAAATGGATCCATCTTCATAACATCAGCACGAACATTATCCAGGCGGTCATCGAGACCATCCAAAAAAGTATAAACTTGATCTTCATGGACAATGGCATTGTACCTTAGAATATCGGCCGGACATTGCATAGGATTAGGACGGCGGAAATCAATCTCACGCTAGAGCCCTTGAAGATCATTGTAATATTTCTCGATGGGTCCACCGCCTTGCTTCAATCGAGAAACCTGCCTCTTAACATCATAGATTTGGGAGGTGTTAGATCCATCAAAAAAGGTCGTTGCCACAGCATCCCATACGGCTCTGGCAGTAGGAAACCGAATAAAGTTTGGTATCAAGGCTGGGTCTATAGAATTGATAAGCCAACCTTTCACCGTAGAATCATCGATCTTCCATTGCTAAAAAACGGATCAGCAGGAGGGGGCTCAGGAGAATCACCATTCAAATAGCCCAGTTTGTCTTTGCCCGAGACATACATCTCAACAACCTGGGACCATACGCTGTAATTTTTGCCATCAAGCTTGACAGCAATCGGTGCAACAGGAGGTTCAACGCGCGGCGGCGCGGCCTGCTGGGTCAAAAGCTGCTTCATCGTAGTGGTCAGGTCTGCCAGAATG